TCTCTCCTGGCTTTGGAAGGGGCTGAAGGCCCAGGGCTCTCACCAGGGAACTCAGTCCTGCTCAGCAGGTCTGGACTCCTTCTCCAAGTCCAAATCCACAGACCAAACAAAGGACATGGCTCAATACACAGGGATTCTGCCTGTTAGCACGCTAAGGAAGCTGTTTCTTACCTTAAATTATCCATTAATTTCCTCCAACTGAAAGATACTCTAAAAATTTTCTGTTGTCGGAGGGGTTTAAGCTTGGTCCCTCTGAGGGGGTGGGCCCTGCTGTGTCAGCCCGTTGTGCCTGCCCGTGGAAGGTGTGCCATGTGCCACGGTATGCCATGTGCAGTGGACACGCCTGTGCGTCTCGCCTGGCGCTGGAGACTCTGCTCGATGTGTACTCAGCGAGTACTGGATCCCCAGGGCCTACCTTGCCCACTGCCCGTGGGAAGCCCACAGTTTACACAAAGTGCATTCAAGTAAGCAGGTCTCCCTGCCCCCCGGCCTCCCAGAACCTTGGTGCCTGGAGGGCAGGTGGGGGAGGGCGTTCCTGAACCGAGGCCGGTTTCCCTCTGCGGGGAGGAAACCCCATTTCCCTCCTAACCCTAGGCGCTTGCTACATCTGGCCCGGCATCAGACAGGAAAGAACCCTTTGTTCCCAGCTTGTAGGAAGTCTGAGCTGGACCCCTTATCTACCCACAGCGCTTCCTGGACCGGGGGCCTGGACCCGGCTCCTAAGGGGCTGGCTCCCGGTCTTGGTCTTGGCCTCGGCGCCCTCCTTTCTCCGCGCTTTGGGCAGGGGAAGCTGCGGACGGCAAGGTCTCGGCTTTCGTGAGAGCCTGGTGGAACCGGTGTTCCCCGCAGGCTACTCTGCGGGGGCGGGGGTTAGTCCCGGCCTTCCCGGCAGTGTCGTCTCCCCGGTGGGGGCTGGGGACGTGCCCCCAGAGCTCCTGGAGCATTGGCGTGGCCAAGGCCTGAACCCGGTCTGACATCTAGTGGCCTCCTGGGCCCGGGCGGGGCGAGAGCAGGGCAGGGAAGAAGGTGGAGGGCAGAAGGGGAGGCGTGGAGCGAGAAAATCAGGAAGCTTGGGGACAAGCCGGGGAAGGGCGGCGTGTGTCGCCCCTGGCACCTGCCCTTCTCAGGGCCCGTCCCACCCCCAGGCCTGGCTGACCCCAGGTCCTTACATGCGCAGTCGGGGCTTGCCGGGGCCAACCCCGCGGCCCTCCATCCCCGCGGGCCGCAGACCCCACTCGCCCACGATCGTGGGGACCCCGGACGGGGGTCGCGAGGCCGGGCTCACGGTGACAGCGGTTCGCCTACGTGCGGGGCCGGAGCTGGCAGGGCCCAGTCCCGAGCGTGACTGCAACCGCTGGGGCCTGGCACGTGGGGGGCAGCCCCGGGGGCCGCGTGCGCCACTTCCGGCCTGGGAGACCCCGCCCCGCTCGCCGCCCGGTTGCCATGGCGACGCCGTCACGCCACGGCCCGCGGAACCGGCTGAGCGACCCGGGCGCGGCGCGGGGAGGCTCGCGGGACGCTCGGGTAGGCGAGGTAGGTGGCCGGGCCGGGGATGGGAGCGGAGCGCGCAGGGGTGCGGGGCGGGGGTGGCCCAGGTGAGCCCCGACTGCGCAGGGAGGGACCACGCCGGGCTCCCGAGTCGCAGCCGGCCTCGCACCTGCCCCCTGCGGCCGCACACCGGACTGCGGCGCCGACCCGCACCCTGGGTCCGAGGGCTGCAGGGCTCGCCTGCCCTCTCGGAACCGCAGTCTCTCCCGGTCCAGGAGGCCCCCGCCCTGACCGCCCCGGTGCCGGGTCTCTGCTGAAGTTAGAACCGAGACCCCCGCTTTCCAGTGACCCCGAGTTTGGATCTTTGCTCCTGCGCCGCGTTCTAGAGCAAGGTAGGGTGCAAGTGGACCAACCAGCCTTTGCCACGGCTGCCCTCTTGAAACCGGAGCCACTGTCTCTTGCCCGGAGTAGGGCCGGGGCTGCAACGTGGAGCCGCAGGTCCCCGCCTGTGTCTCCCGACGCCCCCAGCTTCTGAGCGCTAGGGTGGGAGTTTCCCGAGTGGGAAAGCCCCACTCCTTCAGTGGCCTTGGTGGGTCTGGCTGGTGCCAACTGCGCTGAGGGCGGAGCTGCCGCCACCTTGACACCTGGGAGATGGCGGGGCCACCCTCCCTCCCTCCCTGCCCCGTCCCCGACTGTATCACGAAGTGAGGATCATCCGTGTGGATCTAGGGCCCCCTTCCCAGACTTCTCCTTTCTGGTGGCTCCTCTCCTCTCATTCATTCCACTTTGGCAGCCTTTGTGGATTTTCTGACTCCGTAAATGAAGTTACATCTAGGGCACCTAGATTCTACCCCTTTGTTTTAATAGCTAATGAAACAACAACAACAAAATGGAGAGATAGGGTGACTCCACTGATGTTGGTCGGGCTAGTCTGCAATCACTGGGTCTCAAGCAGTCCTCCTGCTTCGGCTTCCCAGAAGCTCGTGGGATTACAGACAGAGCATGAAGCCAGCCCCTAAATGTTTGTGTTTAAAAATTAATTTAATCCAGTATGGATTATACTTGTTTTCTATACCAATGCAGTTTGTAAAATAATATTTTTGGATGTATTATGTTTTCCCTTTTTTTTTTTTGAGATCGGGAAGTCTCGCTCTAGTCCCCCAGGCTGTGGGAAGTATAGTAGCACAATCTCAGTCACTGGCAAATTCCGCCTCCGCAGGTTCCATGCCATTCTGCCCTGCCTCAGCTTCCCGAGTAGCTGGGTACTAAGGCGCCCACTACCCGATGCCAGACTAATTTTTTTTTTTGTTTTTTTTTTTAGTTAGAGGGGTTTTCACCGTGTTAGCCAGGATGGGTCGTCCGATCTCCTCGGCCTCATGACCCACCCACCTCGGCCTCCCAAAGTGCTGAGATTACAGGCGTGACCACTGCACTCGGGCCAATTTTTTTTTTTTTTTTTTTTTTTTTTTTGAAGGGACAGGTAAGTCTCCCTATTACCCAGGCTGTGGAGTACAATGCAAGATCTCGGGTCACTGCAACCTCCGCGCCTCCCAGGTTCAAGCGATTTCTTCCTGCCTCAGACTCCCCGAGTCTGAGATTACAGGCGGGCGCCACCACCGCCCAGCAATTTGTTTTTTATCTGTTAGTAGCTGTAGAGACGCGCTCCTTCAACAGTGTTGGCCAGGCTAGGTCTGTGAAGCTGTCCCTCGACCCGTCTGTTCCTCCCGTTTCTTGGTGATCTGTTTTGTTTTGGTTTTATGTTTGTGTTGCAGCCTTCCCGAAGTCGCGTGGGATTACAGGCGTGAGGCGCACCGACCTTGACAGATGTTTTTTGTTTTTTCGTTTTTTATGGAAACAATTTGTGTGGCTTCGCTTTTTTGTGTTATATATGGCGCGCGTTCGGAAGGCCACGGTGCAGCCCAGGGTAGAGAGGATGTGGATTTCAAAAGGCTATGATGTATAAGCCATCAGCTCCCGGACAAGCCAAGTCTCTTCTCCGTTAGCCTGCTTCCTAATCTATAAGTGGAAGGATATCTGGGCATTCGTACCTGTAGTTGAACATAGAAAGGAGTAAGTGGATAAACGTCGTTGCCAGTGCCCAGCACGAGGCCTAGCCAACAGAGGGCATTCCATCAAAGAGCAATCTTACGAAAATACGTGAAATCTGATCGCTAGAGCACCTTAGGAAGAGT